TGCTTCATAGAAGGACAGAAGTTTAGAAGCAGCTAGATTAGAGACAACACGCATGTGATCCATGCCTCTGCGTGCTGACATACAGCCAAAGTCCTGCAGCTTATCTCTGCTTTCCCCTCAGAACGTTGTGTTCACGTTGTGCCCCCCCTTGATTTAGGCACGAGAGGAAGAGTGTACATTTTTCATTACACATTGTCTGACCTGTGACTTGCCTTCCATGAAGCAGTGGCTGCACAGCATCATACGCCCAGAAAGTCGCGCTGGTCGATTAGGACTTGGCTGTTCTGGTAGCTGGGTGACAGCCCCTGATGAGATAGAAATCTACCACTACCACCACTACTACCACCATGTTGTGACTCAAGTCTCAAAGCAAAATGTCAAGCGTTCAAGGGCTGCACATGTTGTTCTATTGTTTGACTTGCATAGTGTCTTAATAGCACCCACTGTAAGGCTGACTAGCGGGCGATAACATTTGTATCGCCGTAGTGATCACTTTTGCAGCTTTACCTTAAGGCAGCTGTGCAGTCCAATTGTAGCACTTATGAGATGTAGCTTCAATTGCGGTTCCTCAATTACCGTTTCGCGTGCGAGACTCTCACTTTCTATCTGCAAGTAATTTCAAGGTTTCCATCTGCGCAAATAACTTGAAGGGCGTTGCCAATGTACTGCCTTGCACGTTGATCTCAAGACCGTTGTACAAGAGCACATAAACCACTCTTTTGTCAATTCACTTACACATAGCCTGTAGGGTGCTGTGACTGCGACTGATTATGTATATAACTCTTACTCACGAGTGTTCTGGAGGGGACTACCTCTCTGATTGGGAAGAGCTCCCTTCCTGTAGCCTGACTTGGTTTAAAGAGATATGCAAAGTAGAACCTTCATCCTTGTTATGCGGGCCACCATAATTGGTTGTGCCAGCATCAGGTTGTTCAGCTCATCATAGGGAAAAGTGTTATCGGTTTGTAAAATGCTTACTGCAGTCTGGAAAAAAGTCTCCACGCGCCTCCGCCCGAGACGGAAGCATGCCTCTTTCATTGCGGCATTCCATTGATGACTGCATGGTGAATTAGAATCGTCTCGGTAACGAAAATGACAGACTCCTGACGGCTAAAACCTGATATCAGCTGTGACTATGAGAAGGAATTGCTTGAAAGAAGAACACGAGTTTGACCTCTTTTGATATATCACGATACCAAACCGGGGTGGTGTCGTGGACGTTTTGATTTGCTTTAACCTAGCACGCAACTTTGCTATCACGCAGTACCTAGTACCTGGGAACACGATACGATAGGATGGACCGGAATTCTCAAGGTTTGGCTCGGTTGCCGGGACGGCCCGTGGCTTACCGTAAGTTATGGTGTCGTATAGGTCAGGTCTCGCCAGCAACAGACATTAATGGAACGGCCGGTCTCGGTACTTCTCGACATGGAAATAATCCTGGACGACATCCGAAGCACCAAGGAGAAGCAGAATTAGCAGCTCAAGCTCCTTTTGATATCCTAGCTTCTCGCTAACAAACTGCTTCGACTGTTGGTATGGGCAATATAGGCTTCGAAGGCCAGTTTCAACTACAACGCGCAACGATGGGACAGAGAAGAGGCACAAAAGCAATTGTTATCGCTACTAACAGAATATCAACCGCCTCACCAGCCCCTCCCTCTGTGATGACCATATGAATGGTCCTCACTGCAAGATCCCAAAATGGAATATGCGGTCTCAATAGCCCCGGTTGTGTGCGGAACGAACTCTCATGTTATTACCCGTCGACGCGTACAAGTTCGCCTTGGACGCTGCGTCCCATAACCCGCGTCTCCCTCACAGATTCGTACTCTGGAAACAACCGCCAAAACCCGCATCGCTTCATACAAGAGCTCTGATTGGGCCGATGGAGAGAGAAGAGGGGACGGGCAGATGCCGATCACATTTGCAGCGTTCTTGAGGCCGTTCTAGAAACTACCAGCTGCTCTCCAGAAGCCTGGCGCAGATTTCTCGATCCGAAGCCATTCCAAGTTCAAGACCAACGGCCGCAGGGAGTAGGCAGGTTCGTCGTGAAGACTCTCCAGCTTTGCAAAGACTGGAACATAACTCATTATTCTCAACTTCTGCTGCGATTGCATCAACTTCTTTGAACACAACCAAGAGGCCTTTAATGGACTACGAAATATGAGGCGTAACACGAAATTTGAAGTAATTCGAGCTTTCAACTCTCAAGCACGTTGGAGAATCTGAGCTGAAGCCTTGATATAGGCAGTCGTGGCAACCATCGTCAACCAACTATCACTGGATGTTAACATCCACCTATCCCCGATAGTCTAGTGGTGAGGATATCTGCTTGTCATCGAAATTCGACGATTCGCAGGGGACCGGGGTTCAATTCCCCGTCGAGGAGTATTGCTTTTGGTTTTTGAGCTTGTGGGCAGTTCCTTTTGTTCTCAGGTTGATTTTGTGTACAAAATGTCGGGTGGCCCACTGGTCAGGCCCTTTTGTGGGTCGTTCGGAAATGAATTGCAGCCAGATGCCAGCTTCCCCAACACAGAGCTTTGTCATGCAGTTAGCGCGGCGAGGGATTCAAGAGAAGGAGTTAATCCTTCATTCTTCTAGTCCGAGCATCGGATTTATTGATGAATTTAACCGCCTCACTCTCTGTTCTCTGTGGTCGTCTTTAAGTTGCCTAGAATGTTCACAGTTACGTACAGTAAGCTGGGACACGAGCTTGCAGAACGAGATGCCTTGATCTATTCCAACTTCGCACTCACTCCTTGAGAGCAGATGTCAGACAGCGGGTGGAAACTTGACGGATACGGAAAGGTCTGGTCCCCTGATGGCGTCTTGAATTTTCGCAATGGGTACATGAATGTGACACTCTGCTTGAACTTACAGCGGTCAAGGGATAGCCATACCGTCGATCATCTCGATACCTGTCGGATTGGAAGTCCAATTCGACCGCGGCATACGGCCAACTGCGCAGGGGCCAATTGGGGGCCCTATTTACGATTATCGTAGCCAGCCCAACCTACGGTTGGAACCTCCTTTTTACACCTACGCAGATATTCATATAGTTCAATTGATCTCTTCGTCAACCCACGGTTCGAACCAACTACCCTGTAATAGGGATACCAACAATACCCGCTAGCCCGGCGAAATTGTACTTTTTCATACCAAGGCAGGGAGGATGATCGGGGAAGATTTAATAGACCAATGACTAATGTCGGAACAGCATATGATACACTTCTCTTCAACATAAATTACTTTACCATCCGCTCACGGGTGATAATGTTTCCGTCAACTATGTTTACAGGAACGATGGCACTATCATATTCCGTGGATGTCAGGGTTTCTGAGGTTGCGGTGGCTTTGGTAAGGTCATGCCCGCGACAGCCTAGACCATAGTTGTGTCCTAAAGACATCTGGAAAGGCCATTCATTTAGACTCTTGACCAACGTAGTCATGGCTTATTTTTTGACGATCCCCCTCCCCTCCTCTTTGTGTTGATCTTCAGCATCTCTTGTATGTTTTTAAGAACCTCGAAACCTTGTCGAATTTCTATATATAACAGACTTGAACGCTGGCAAGGGTGATGATGAGAAATACTGTCAATGGCGTTCTGGGATGGCAATTGCGCTTACTTGGATCACTCCAATTCACCTCCATCAAGTCGTACTAACAAACACCACCAGCATTTCTACCTGGCTGCTTGGTGACACTGTTACCAAGGCCGAGAGATTTTGATTCTTGTCTAGTCGATAGATAACGCCATTAATTCTAACAAGAAGATAGGGATGGCTAGCAGTGAAGAAAAAAGGTGCCATACGGTTATGGTCGCTGGTATGATACCAGAAGCTTATAAGGCTTGTAACGAAGATGTGATGTACGCTCGTACTGCTTGTTATGAAGATTCCGTTCGGTTTGCTTCACGATTCATCTGGCTCCTCTAAGTTTCTTCTTAAAGCGTCGTGGAGGCCGTGATTCTTGAGATAGGCGGCTCCTGAATTCCAGCTGGCCGTGTTGTGTCCGTGAATCTGGTGTCTTGAGAGCCTCAGATCTATGTCTTGGATGCATTCATCTCAAGGTCCTGAAAAGAGGCCATGTCGGAAGCGTGATACTAATGATATACACTAGTTGAAGATGATCCTAGCCAATAAACACATCTAGAAGCGAGGTAAATGAGAGAAAGTTGTGGTACACAGTGGCGTGGTTCGCTTAAACAAGAGACTATGAGAAATTGCTCATGAATATAACCTCCGGGGGGTCCCTCGTGCGGCAGTACGCCAGAGTCCACACAAAGCCATGTATGATGCTGCGACAACATAACAGACAATTTATGAGCCGCGATGAGGTGAATCTTCTCATGAGCTCGGGTTCCAACACAAAACCACATCGGAGTTCCATATCATTACTTCGTTGGTTAATCTAGTGTCTTGGATCAAACATATATTTAATTAAGAATGGCGCGGCTCAGACTGGCGTGACTGAAGTTAATGTGATTCCCAGAAAGATGAACAGAGTCATTAACCTATCGGACGACAAATATCATATCATATAGTTGAACCCTTGAACAACCGCCAGGGATGACCGCACTATACCCACATCCATTCGGCCGCGTGTTTGAAAAGAAGTGCAAAGGTCAATCATTGTTGTTCATCGGCGTTTCTTGAAGCCAGGGGTTGGAAACAAGAGGGGAGAGTAGATAGGAGGACCCTGAAGGAAGGGATGTATTGACGCATTCGGCACTCGAAGAAACAGGTCACTGCTGCTAGTACAAGCGTTACTTATCGTGACAATAACGTACTTATCATAGCCATCATTCATTATCCCAAACCGCATATCCTGGAACACAGCCATATTCAAGGCAGGTCAACAAGAGCAAGCCAAAAGGAGCAAGCCAACGCCCTCGGTCTAGAGAAGGACGCAATCCTGAATGAAGCAGAAGTCTCCTCACTTGAGTAAGTGACACGGTATTCCTCCTTCAACATTCAAACCGATGATCCCACACTCTATCACAACTCTTGGCCAGTACATACACGTGCCGCGACACTCTCAACATCAAACCCGCCAAAGTCTTCCCGAATCAGAGAAAGAAGAAAACGGTCCTCGTCAGCACCAAGAAAGTTGAGCCAGAGCATGCCAACAATACCAGAGGGCATTTCCATGTCCTCATGGTCCTTGCCAAACAGCTGGCGGCGCCAGGCATCGTCAAGCTCCCTCTCGAGACAGATGAGATGACGCACGACATGCCAGCGCTCCGCGCGCTCGAACTTAATCTCTTCTGTATCCTCAACCTCTTGCTCATCCGTATCACCATTGTGTGCATCGATCGGCCTTGGGAGCGATGGCGGAGTATCGTATCGAAGTCGGTCAAGTCGAAGCGTGGCCTGGAACAGCTGCCGAGCCCCATCAAAAAGGTCCATTTCGATTTCTTCGACGCTGCGAGCGTGAATGCCACGAGAGCCGCGCTGGTTGACCCCGACTATGGATACTGAGTCGTCGGGACCGAGGACAAACGAGGGATCGATCATGGCCGAGCTCGGCCGAGAAGCAGCAAGCTTGCTAGGGTGGCAGTTGTCGTCGTCGTCGGTGCCCTGCTTCTTCTTCTTCTTCTTCCAGTCCTCGAGTAGCGACTCACCAACCTCCCGAGACATGTTCGCAGCAACGCCAGACCAGTCGGGATGCAAAAAGCCATCGACCCAAGGTGCCCATTCGCCGGTGGGACTCTTTTCGGGAGTAGCGCCCAGGTTGACGAGGATCCGGCGACGGCTTTGCAGAGCGGCTTTGATGCGCGGCAGGGCGACACGGTCAAAGGCGGCGCCCCAGGATGAGCCATCTGGGCGGACGTAGCGCATCTCGAGCATGAGTTCGTCTTGTTTCTTCCACTTTAACTCGCTCATCGTAAGGCGGTTGGCGATGATGTGACGCATCATTGCCTTTTTACATGACGCCCCAAAGCTGAAGTTCGTGGTCTCGGCTTTCGCAAGGTACGTAACAGACTGATCACAGATGTGCTCCTCATCGTTTGTTGGGCACATTGCCGGCGTGAATGGAGGAATGTAAACGAGGAACAACGTCGAGCGAGTGAGTGTAGGTGTGCTTACTCATCATCGATGTGTACAGATGCACGAGTGCGAGGGGTAGGTTGAGAAGATGACGATGAAGGACAGTGAGCAAAAGAGGGAGAAGGAGAGGAAGAGAGAGACTGTGAGACACATGGCCGTTTGCTCAAGGATGGAAAGACGGAAAAGGTCTGATCACTGTGCAAACGAAACTCTCTGGAGGCATCTTCAAAGCTCGCCTGGCTCGTCAACAGGAGGAGCAACACGCCCCTTCGACTACGCGTCACATCACTTCACCAATAAACCACCACAAGGACAACCTAAACTTGACACGGCGTTCATGTCTTGATAGTCCGTCGAGTAAGCTACTATGAACAACGGCCGAGATCCCCCGCTCTCTACCCGCACCAGGTCCGCGGCATCCACTGGGATCATCAGCGACGCGATGGCCGCGGAGATTGAAGAGCAGTTTCGACTGCCCGTTGGTCACCCAAACAGACAGAATGATGAAGCTGTGAGGGCCAACTGGCGAGTTCTCTACCAGGACTGGTTGAACGGAAAGATGAACGATCTTTGCCGCAATCGTCGTGAGTCTCGATCTTCTCCCGTGCCTCTTCTAAGCCACAAAATAGAAGAAGAATGCGAGGAACTGACAAGAGATAAACACATACAGCAGACCAGTGGTCCCGCGCCAACGCCAGCTCCAGCACGAGCACCGCGACTGCCCTCTCGGCTCGTCGTTTCAACGGCTCCATCCTCGATGTGGACGGTTTCTCGAACGTTGACTTGAGCACCGCAGCCTCGGACATGCGTAGACGCATCATTGGCATCATCAACAAAGACCCCGAGCACTTTCGAGCCGAGATCGAGCGACGACGACAAGCACAACAGCAGCAGCAGGACAAGGATAAGGGAAAGGGACCCGAGCAGCAGCAGCCGCCGCAACAGCGCGCTCTGGCACAGCTGCGAAGAGCAGGCGCAGGAGGACCAGGCATCGCTGGATCCGACTTTCACTCGGCCACGCAGATTGATAAGCGCATAGATCAGCTGCTTGCCCAGCAGGAGGCTTCGCTCCTGGAGGCCCTGCGCATTGAGTGCGAGATGAAGGCGCTGTGGTGGCTGAAGCAGCGCGCAACTCAAGAATCAAAATGAATTCACCATCTGCAGAGCCATACTAGGTAGCTCCGGTGCCTTGTCCGTATCTCATCAAGAAACAGATCACAGCGTTCTCAGAGCATGAAAGGCATGCAGAGGAAACTCAGGGACTCGAGATGTGGAGATAACAGACAAGTAAGAGGAGAAGGAGAACTGTGATTCGAAGTTTTGGAAACAACGGAAAATGAAAGACGGAGACAACTTTTGATTTGCAATGTTGGAACAGCTCATGTAACTATCATCAAACGTCATCCATCAACTCAAGGAAACAAATCACAAACTGCCCATCAACATCAGCCTCTTGAACAATTGGTCCGCCTCAATGACGCTGCGCCTCGCATCCAACTGCCAGTCCAGCGCTAGCCGAATGTGGCCTACGAGTGACTCCTCGTAACTGACGACAGGCGTCACAGTCTCGTGGGCAGGCACCGGGATCCGGTCGCTGCTGGAAACAATAGTGCTGTTGCAGTCACCATCGTGTACTCCGGACGTGAGAACAGACCGGGGAGCGCGAGTGTTGCTGTTAATAACTGTGGTGTTGGCAACGACGGTGCTGTTGCAGTTATCGTCGTTACCTTGTCCCGACATGACGACAGGCCGTGGAGCGTAGGTGTGAATGGGAACAACGGTGGTGGCGGAGACGACAGTGCTGTTACAGTCATCTTGTTGTCCAAGCTTCAGGTAGGTGGGATAAGATTGAACAAGGGTATTTTCGGAAACCACTGTACTGTTTGCCGCCACGGTATTGTTGCAGTCATCTTCGTGGCCAAAGGACGCAGCAGGAATAGCAGCAGCAGCAGGAGCAGGAGGAAGAGGCTGAGCATGGCTGCTGTCGCTAGCAATGGTGGCATTGAGAGTGCGCCCTGCCAAAAGGACATTGTTGACGGCCTGCAGGTCCGGAAAGTCAGGACCGGATGTCTGGGCTTCGTTTGGCAAAACGGCAGGACTAACCGCCGAAGCCGAAGTCGGCGAAGCACTGCTCGAGAGGTTTGAAGCGAGAGGATCGAACCGCTGCCACAAGGGGATGATTTCGCTGGCCACGCTGGCCGCGAGAGCCGCGAGGGCCGCGCTTCCCCCGCCGGTGGTTGGCGACGAGGTAGGCCGCTGTAGATATAGGCTGCTCGAGGTTGCCGAGAGTCTTGCGTCGGCGTGTAAGCCGGGGTTGGCGCCAGGGCTGGTGATTGCCGTGTCGAGGTTGACGTTGGGCCAGCGCGGGGCTTGAGCGGGCCTGCGCGGGGTGTGAGCTTACACTGAGAGGATCATGATGGTATGAGCTGTCTGAATGAACACGGGGAGAGAACTGCTGGCTTACGTGGGGTTCGGTGGCAGAGCCGAAGACAGCGAAGAAAGAGACGACAGAGCCGAGGACGAAACTGAAGTCGCAGATGGAATCGTAGCTGGCGTTGCTGGAACGGGAATCGAAGTCAGAGCCTGAGTCAGAGCTGCACCCGGGGCCGGAATCGGCTTGATGATCGAGGGTGGCGTGGTAGCCAAAGGCCAAGGGTCAACAAAGCGGACAGTGGAACCAACGATAGACGTGGCGGCCAAGGAGTTGGGTACTGGGGCGGCGAGAATCGGGGGGAAACGTGCATCGACATCGCGAGTGTTCCGTTTGCCGAGGGTCCGTAGCCAAGCCTGAACGGTGTCGACAGTCTGGAACCAGGTGCCCGTGATTTCGGGGCTCCAAACGTGGATGCCATTACGTAGCTGGACGACGCGGTTATCGAGGACCCATTTGCGTGCTGTGTGGCGGACCTTTTCGCGGAATTGGGTGAGGACGACTTTCTGGAAGCGAATGGTGGCGTCGACGGCGGTGGCCTGAAAGGGTCCCATATGGCAGAGGGGCCGGAGGTATTCGAGAACAAAGTTATCAAAGTCTGGCCTCTGGATGTCGGAGGGGAGAAGATTGTGCTTGAAGAGTTCGTAGAGGATGGTGGCGCGTACCAAGAGGCACCAGCCAATGGCCTTTTTCTTGGACGCTGCGTAAGACTCGACAGGCACGCAGCAGACCTCCTAGAACGCACATTAAAGTTAGTCTTTGCATCATGTACGACGAGCACGATGCAGGCGGAAGAGGGCTGACGGAGAGTGTGCAGGAAAAGGGGCAACAGAAGAGGGGGCCTCAGAAACAGGAAGTACTCACGTAGGCTGTGTTCGAGGTGCACATGGCGGCAAATTGGGCGTGGTTGGGTACAAAGACTTTGATGACGCTGCGTAGGGAAGACTGAAGAGATGGAAATCTAAAAGAGAAGAAGAGCCCGAGAACTAATGGCAGCATCGACGCGATATAATCTCTCGTGAATATCATCAAACACCAGAGTCCCCCAGTGTCAACCTCGTTAGCGTCCTCATTCTCAGCCGCAGGCTCCTCCTCGCCAACCAGCCGCTGCTGTGCTTTCACCGATGGTAAGTTGCTGAGACGTCGCAGGCTGGATGCCAGAGTGCATGAACTGGTTCGACCAGGCTGCAGCAGTTCGCCAGTGGAGTTGTCTGTCCATGGTTCGTCCGCATTGCGTTTGTGGTTCGTCGCTGCATTTGTTCGTTTGTCATCCGCGCGTTAGTCTTCAGCCTGTATTCACGCCAGTCCTCAGCCGAACTCCCGCAAGTCTCGCAGTTGGAACGATGACCATAATCTGCCCGCAGCCATTACCAGCGGTAAGGCACAGGTGTTTGGACGTCGGTTCGGCCGTCATGCATCGTCCCAAGGTGTATGAACCAGGAGGGTGAGTCCATTCGGAAGGGGAACCTGTTCCATGGGGCAGTCAGTCCTAGACTCAAGACAAACACTTCACGATGAATTGAACCACTATCTCAAGTTCTAGCCCACGAGATTTTGACCGCTAGATGTGGGATAGGAGAGACACACAGAGAGAAAGACGCAGAACAGGAGGGGTCGATAGGTGCAGGAGGGAGAATGTGGGGGAGAACAACAGAGACGGCGGTGTGGAGATGTGAATAGAGGGAGTGAAGAGAGAGAGAGAAAGAGAGAAAGACGAACCATAAGTACTTGACGTCCTCTGCCATGCTCTCTCTTACGTCTCTATTGCAAAATTGTGTCGACTTCTCGGCATCATTCCTGCCACGATGGTGTCAATTTCTTGATGCCGTCGTCTACCAGGACCGCATACGCTGATTCCTCAGCGTTGTTCATTACGACAATGATGTCGATTTCTCGATGCTGTCTAACTACGTGATCATGTTGATTCCTCGACGTTGTTCGCGTGTGGCTATGGTGTCGATCTGTCGACGTCGTCCTCTGCCAGGACCACACTGGTTTCTCAGTGCTGGAGCCTCCCCTTCCCTTAAGGTGTCGACTTCTCGTTGCTTATTCAACCTAGCGACCGCGCTGACTTCTCTGCGTTGTTCGCTTCCGTGATAATTATCAATTTCTCGATGCCATCCGTGCGCTAACCGTGTCAACTTCTTGATACGGTGAGCTCTCCGAAACCCCTCTCAGTCACCAACCAGGTGGCCAAGCCTCATTTCTGAGGCTGAGCGGTAGCCGATCTCTCGGCTGCCCTCCTGGTTGTCACCGTTGACGTAACCCACTCTCCATGATGGGCGACGTCGCGGTGGCAGAGACTGACACTACTTCCAGCTTTTGGTTTCCCTGGTTCGTGCTCCCCTCCATCTTCTGCTCCGGCTTGTGCACCCGATCCGTCGCCCATAGGCCAGATGGCGCTTACCCAAGCCCACTGATATTTGGCGGCGCGGTCCAGCTCAAAGAGGCGGCGTCGAAGAGGAGGATCAACGGTAATATGGTGGCGTACATGCTTCGCTCCAGCATCCCGGGCCGCAGCAGCCGATTCCAGCTCCCGCAAACGACGCTGTGCGTGCATGATATGGGCTGTCAAGGCTTCCGATGAGGGAAACTCACAGTACGCCGCTCCATCGCACGGTTTCCCATCATCCGCCTGGACCGCCGTCTTAGCAAGCCAATCTAGTGACGTTCCCATAGTCTCGCGTGCCGACTCGAGAGTCATCAAGGCCTCGTTGACCAGCCCGCGAACAGTATCGCGGCGAGGTGCTAGTTCCTGTGAAAGAAGCTTTACGTAAAACACTATGTCTTCACTCCACCAGGGGCTGCCGCTGCCGCTATCGCCATCCTTCGGGGTTATATGGCCCGGAGAGACGACCTCCTTGTGTGACATGTCTACTAGCATGTGAATGACGGCGCCCTCAAGTAGCTGGGACTTGTGGAGATGGTGCTCCAAGGCTGTTAGTTGGCGCATCCAAGCCTCCACGTTCTTGCGAGAAGATTTGAGGTAGCCAAGAAACGACTGAGCCAGGGCACTAGCACTTGTATTATATCGATCGTATGTGGTGGTGGTGAATCTTGGTGTCGGTTTCGGTGTCGGCATAGAGTCGAGGTCATCGCGCACATTGACGAGCAGAAGGATGAGGTCGGATTCCCACGTCGTGTGATCGGTGCGGGACAGGGCTTGAAGCAGAACGGCTGCATCGCGTGCGTTGTCGGCTAGGCTCTTGAATGCTTCGAGGGACCTGGTCGACGTAACAGATGAAGTTGTTGTAGAACGAACGTGACGGGCGAGATTAGACAACTTGGATGTGACCAGGGAGTATGATAGGAGCTGGTCTGCGGGCCACCAGATGTCACAGGGGGTTCCTTTGAGGTCATGATGGTGGAAGCGAAGAGGGAGGAGGCTGAGAGAAATGGACTCGATGTGAGAGAGCATATGGCGCGTATCGAGCATTCGGGTGCGGGAGCGATAACGAGAGGGCGACGAACCGTAGGCGTCGAAGGAGAAGACAGACTGAGGATGATGAACAGTGCATAGCAAGAAAACCGCCATCAAGAGTGTCATCACCATGACAAGGACCACCCTCAGCATTGGACCGCGCCGCGAGGACAGCTCCTCCTGCGGAATCTGCACCACCTCTGGCTTGGACGACAGCTCGGACGGACTAGAGGTGGTGTAAGCGGGGAGATGTATAGTATCGACCGTGAAGGAGCGACCGCAGCCGTCGGCGTGGTAGGGATTGCCATCTTCGTCGGTGACATCGTCGTCGTCGTCGTTGAGCTCTGAGCATAGGGAGACTTGGTTTTTGCAGTAGAAGTGTACAGTGTGAGAGGTAGTTTCGGATGGGGACGCCGACAGAGACAATGGTGTTAAAAGCCAATCGTCATGGAAGCACAGCGTGACGTGGCGGGTAATGGAATCGGCGACGGATCGGGGGAACGACAAGCTTAGGGATACCCGGTAGAACAGAGGAGAGTCGTCGTGATTCTCCCAAATGCTGTGGCAGCTGTCGATGGCGTCGGAATCGACAATGATGTTCTCCGAGTCTTGGCCTTCTTCATCATGGGGTTGCTGCATGATGGACGGCGGGCAGTGATAGTCCTATCTGGGACATTGGAGATGGAGGGAGAAGCATCGTGGCAGCGGTCAAGGACAAGATATCGGCGGTGCATTCACTGGTGAGAAATCTCAAAGGTGGATTCCGAGTATCTGTGCATTCGCGTCGAGTGCGTGGTGTTGTCGTGTCCGTTTGCTACTGATTGTTGTTTGCCATTGTTGTTGATTGAGTGCTCTCCGCCGAGGGAAAGACCACAATGATGTCAGTGGCAGCTACCTCATGTATGGATACTTGGATATGCAATGCAAGGTATATGGGATTAAAGAGGGAGAAAAGCTTTTGTTTCCAATTTCTTTTCTCGATTGGGGGACAAACGGACAGAAGGTAAAAGGCAGAAGTGGCTGGGTGATATTGGGCTCCTGAGATGTGGCGTCTCACCTGTGGCGCCTATGGCTCGCGAGACAGAACGTCACATGACGTGAGAGGAAAGGATGGGCACGTTTCTAGTCCGTGGTGAGGTGTCGGTGATAGAGTGTCGTGTGAGTTGGACGTGACCGGACAAATCGGCATCCGTCGCCGACACCAAGAACGGAGGCGCTCGAGCCAGCCAAGTGTGACTGGCCAATGGCAACCGGCTCCCAGAGCTGCCGTCTCCAAAAGCTGCGTCTCCAAAAGCTACCACGTGCACGGTTGATTTTGGCCGACTCCAATAGCTGCCGGGCACACGGTTGAATTTGCCACAGCCACCTGCCCGCTTGCACAACACGCAAGGTACCTAGCAACATACCTACCGAGGTGGCTTCTTCCAAAGCCACAAACAGAGAGAGTAGAGGGAGTCCAAGTAGTTCACTCACAACTTGAGAAATCCATCGCTCGGGTGACAAAGATGACCCACGTCGACGGCATCAGGCACTCAAATGAACGCTATTGTTTCCTGCCACTCAAATGCCCAGAGGTAGTGTTGTGCAGATGTCTCTGCTACCGGACCGTTCGACGGCGCCTGGGCGGACTCCAAACGCCCGGAGCCCGACTACTTGCCGCCCTCTGGACCTGTTGCGTCCCTGCCACCAGCTGAGCCGGGGCACGATGGGACTGGACAGGGCAGATGCGATGTACATTCTCTGGTACCTTTTCGACGCCATCACCATGTCCTCGTCTCATGCAAGCACAGCGTCGGGCTCCTCTCCAGCGCAAGTCAGTTGTCCATTCCAATTGTGCAATTGGAAACGGGCAGCCATGAAGCCGATGGACTCATTCTGTTCGTGCTTCCTCGCATGGATGCTATGTTTCGCATTAACAATTTGTTAATTCTGTGCCCGTCCCAGTCTATGGTGCTCCACATCTGTATGCATCCCGATGCTCTCATCTCCGTCCTATTCATCAATAACAAAAAATGAGGAATGACAAAACTTCCCTTGCGTCCAACAATCCCCCTACCCTACCGACAACCTCCCCAGTACTGTCATTGAGACCACGTCTTCTCCCTCGATGGACAACTCGTCTAACGCTGTCGCTGCTGTTAAGTCTGTCGGCAAGCCTGCCGACGCCGTCATGGAAGCCGTGTCTTTCCCCGCGGCTGGTACTTCGTCCAGCATTGTCACCGCCGACAACCGCACAAGATCGATCAGTAACATAAAGTGAAGAAATGACAAACAAAAAAACGGCCACTATGCGCGTCCCGCCCGCTCTCCCACAGCTCACAGCCCCAGTCCCAGCACCAAAGAACCGGGAAAATCTAGCGTTTACGCCGCTCGTGCTTCAAGTACTCCAAACACTCCTTCATCTCGTCCCATGTGAAACCACGCGTACCAGGCGGTGGTTGTTCTTGGTCCTCTTCGATAACAAGGTACTTTGGCTGTTCTCGGTCCCGTGACGAGCTAGCGGTATCGATATTGGCCTCTCTGCTTTCCTCTCCCTCGGGCCATGCTCCCGATACCCGGATACCTAATGGCAAAGAAGTAGACGGAGTAGCGGAAGTAGGGGGTGGTGGAGGAGGAGGAGGGGCAGTAGTAGCGGGACTAGGGGAAAGAAGAGGGGAGTAAGGAAGTATGGACGGAAGAAGAGAGGGGAGCAGAGGGTACTCTGGCTCCTGCGCGATCGTTTGACGGTGACCCTGGACTTGGACCTGGCCCTCAGCCTGGACCTGTGTTCTCGTCGACGTTCTAGACTCGTCGTGCTTTGCTTGGGGTTTGTTCAAGCCACTTCGTTCTGTTGAGGGCTGCATCGGCCGCGTTATGGGCCGCGTTCTGGGCTCCATTGGGGGCTTCGTCGGGGGTCTCATCGGGGGCTGCGTCGTGGACTGCGGCGTAGACTGCGTCTTGGGCTTCGTCGTAGAGTGCGCTTTAGGCTTCGTGGCAATGGTGGCGGCAGCCTTCTTTCCAGACTCTTTGGGATCCTTCAAGGCCTCTTTGGGATCTTTCGAGACCTCTCTAGGCATCGGCACCTCTTCTTCTCCTCCCTCTTCTCCGTCCTGTTTGTTCACAATCTTTGTCAGCGGAACGACTTCTATCAGTATTATCAGGGCCCAAGAGCCAAGGCAGACTGAATGAAGCGGCATACAGCAGCATACTCTGGTAGTGACACCCACTCCCCTCGTGTCAAAAAGGATGGTAGCGATTGTGGCAGCAGTCCCCAGTTCTCAGGCCACATTGGCTCATCCGGATCCATTTCCGTCGGGTCGGGAGCAAGCAGCTTAGCCCGGCGTAGGTGGGCTTTCGTGATGCAATTGGCATACTCATGGGGCGGATCTTGGGCAGCGAAACGCTGGAGCTGACGGGCTCGCCATACCCAGTTGACCGCCATGGCGAGAAAGGCCCAGATCGATGAAAAGAGAGACTGAGTGGTCGATGGAAAGGAAAGAGAGAGGACGTATGTGGCTGTGTGAGTATATATCTTGTGCTAGATCTACCTACTTCTCGACCGTCGTGTCCACGGTCCAAGAGGCCAGTCCAGGATGCCCTCATCCCGAGACCCTGATCATCAGCGTTTGAGGCCACGATCTATCGGCATGTTCGCTTCACGAAAGGAATGCCAGCCAATATGACGCTTCACATGCCGCTTCCCGTGTCTGCCACCACCTCATTTCACTTGTCAAATTCTGTCTGCTTCGCCCAGCCTTCATCCTGGATCCAGGGAGACACCGGCCCACTGGCATCACTGCATCGCCAGCCAGTGCTTCCCGCAGAGACTCCTCAGCACGGGCTCTCGATCTACCGCGCTCGTCAGAGGCAACAGGATCACCTTGTCGTAGTACTTTCGCATCTCCTTTCGCGTCATCAGCACGTCCACGACGGCAAGGAACAAAGATCTCTCCTCGTCCAACTCGTGTATCTTCCTGCCACCCTTTTTCTCTTCCTTTCGCGCCCCAGCCACGTGCCGATCCCACGCCCGCCACAAGTCCAGCTCGACAGCCTCAGCAGTCTTTGACGACGCCGGGTTATCGCTGCCCAGGAACTCGTACAGTGTCTGGACTTCGTTTGACATGGTCTGTGCCTGCACGCGGTGGTGGAGTATGCAGAGCTGCATATCGACGCCTGTTGACAGAAGAGAAAAGGTCAGTTCGTCATCTTCAGGAGTACCCGTACCTACCTACTGTGTTGCTTTGGCGTTTGAATAATCGTCGTCTTGTATGGTGAGTTGGATTTGTACGCATACAGCCCCATCCCGCCATAGAGCATGCATCCCATACCGACAACGCTCATCAACAGGGTCAAGAAGCCAGAATATCGATGAGCTGTTGATACCATGGTGAAATATGTTAAACTGAGATCTCAGACAGCCTCAGAGAGAAAGGACGGAGATGCGGTCCGTGGTATCTTGATATAGTCTGTGAATCCGACTTGGAGGTTGCGAGAACTGACGACGGTCTCTTTGGAAATGGATACTTTCTGCTCGGATGTTCGCCCTGTTTTGCTGGGTGCTTCTCGTTGGATTCATGATGCACTCTCTGCTTGTCCAGAAGTTGCCAGCCTTTGTTGAAGATGTTGTTTCATCCGCCTTGTCTGTCAAGACAAGAATGTGAGGGAACTGGAAAGTTGTTGCCCAACTTTTGTCCCTTTATGTTCTGCGTCATGATATCTCTAGCTTCTTCTGACCCTTTGACTCATCTGCCTGAGACAGGCCGCGAGAAGACGACGGAACTGATCGCCCGTATCAGTTCTTTGTCTCTCGCAACGCAGTGTTTTCCAGCCCCATCTATCACAGTCCAGCTTCATCGTCTTTCGGCTTCCCCAGCTTCCCCTTTCCTGGGTCTCTGATGTGTGATGTCGTGTCATTCCTACGTCAGCGCGGAGATATAAACACAATGACTCGCTGGGAATCCAAGTCGCCTGTATAAACCTCCTGTCAGATGACCCCTTTTACGCAAACGTTCGCTCGAGAAAATGCCACCGAATAGACACCCCACACTCGCCGCGGCCGACGAACAACACGTCACACGCGAAACTCTGTCGTCTGCCAGAAGTTTGTTGAGGGCCTTGAAAGCGAAAAAAGAAGCAGAAGCGTCAGAAACAGCCTCAGCAGCTTCCGTTGCTGCAGGTTCAGTCGCCGCATCGTCGTCGTCCGCCTCCTCTTCCACCTCCTCCCTCGCATCAAATCCAGCGAGAGCTCCAGCCGCTACATCATCACCATCCATCGCTGCAACTGCGGCCCCAACCTCGTCATCATCATCATCATCACCCTCCCGACGCCGAGAGCGACAAAAAGAACGAATTCGCCCATCCCATCCTAGCAATGGCCCGCAACATCAGGTCTTACTGCAAGCTCCGAAAGTCTCGACACCAGGCCCAGCTCAGATGCCACGTCAGGCTCTAGATCAGCGACAGCCTGGCGTAACACGGCGTATCTTCGTCTTCATTGTGTACCGCGTCGTGTTCTTGCACTGGCGAGGCACACTTGTCATCGGTTTGGTCTTGGCTGTAGCGGCAATTGCGACATTTGTATCGGCTCACCCATGTGTCTCCCTCGGCATCATGGCAGGCGTGCTGCCCATCGGTGCCGGTATGGCGTCCACTTCGTACAGCCTTCTTTGCGATGTGGCTGGTCTAAAGGGCAAGAACAAGGCAGGCGCTACCATGAATGCAACACAGTACCAGCAGGCGACGTCGCCTTTCGCTCTCGTCAATACCAACTTTCCAAGCTTCTCGTTGGGCATCAGCAGCACGGCAGATGCCGTGACGAATGTTATTACGAGCGATCCATCGCACGGCGTATTGACAACTGCTTCTGATATGCCAGCCAAGGATGCCCTCGGCAAGGTCGATGCCGCGCTGCAGAAGCATTTCCGGCAACGGTTGCCGCGGGAGCAGCGCTGGTACGCCGACATGGCGTCCAGAATCAGAAAGGCTTCGTCTGCCAAAGCGATGCGCCAGGGGGCTGGATGGATGTGGTGGCGAGGTCCGGCGATACAGGCACGAGCGGTAGCTTCGGCAATGGCAAGGGCGCGCGCGATACTGGAGGTGGTGGAGGAGGCGCTGAGGGCGCGGCATGAAGTAGTCAGAATCTTGACAATCAGCGAGACGTTGAAGGCAGCGGCCCACGCGCTTCGAAACACGTGCGCATGGAAACGATTGCTGGAGCAGAAGCCATACATTGCGGAGCGGTTCGTCAAGGATCACTACTCCATAGACATGGACGGAGATGCAGCCAACTTCGACAGCAGCAACACCGCGGTGATCAAGAAGGAGTTGGAACTTGCACTGGCCGAAGTATCGCGTGCGCGAGTTCTCTGCCGAGGATCTCATATCATGACTGAGGCGTGGGATCAGTTGCAGGAGCGCATCACCAGGCGGGAGATGGAAGACTTATTGACGACCAAGAGCAAGCTCGAAGATCTCTTGGCGACTGGACCGGTAGGTGGGCCTTTGGCTGGGAATGGTGTCGGTGCAGCTGATGAAATAGACGATTGGGAAGGGCGATTGTATGAAGTGACAATCAAACTACTTGACAGCATCCAGCTTGTGTATGGCGATTATTAGGATGGAGGCAAGGTGTATTTTGTCGATAGACTTTCGTAGTTTTGGAAGCAAGGGATGGAGATGGAGTTGGTCGTATTAAGGCGTATGAAGGTATTGTGAGATGTCATTGCCTGGAGTTGTCGTTCACAGCGCACCTTAGGTAGCCCGGCAAAACCGGGGGGGGATGGTGTCAAAGGGTACATGTCACCGGCACTTCTTCATTGAGTTCGAGTTCCGTGAAACTCCCGTCCATCTTATCTCTCTTATCTGTACGTCATCTCTATCTTATCTCAATATTGTTCTTTGTCTTAAGACAGGAGAAATATTGCGGTCAAGTGCATTCCACAGCAGCACGTCAACCATTCAGCAGCACCAGACAGAAGCATTCATGTGCTTAAAAACAGCAGAGTCAACAGCAACATTGCTGCTGTCAAGTGTCCTCTTCAACCCACTGCTGCTGCGCACTGTGACCCTCCAACATGGTATACTTTGAGTCAATATATAGGACACTGGTGTTTGAAACGAATCAAAGTACATACGTGGCTTGAAAATGACTCGGAACTATCATAAGCAGGGACATATAGCTCAAGATTCTGCGCGGCAATGGACCTCAGGGCCCATCCATCCTTTACTGTGATTAATATGCCAATCTGAAAACAAAGCGAATCGCAGCACGGCATTTCCAACACAACAAGAGCGGCCAGACTTGAGACCAAAATCTACCTTGCTAATTGAAGAGAAACACTTATCACAATTTGCTTGACCTCCCTTGTTCTATTCGAGCAACTCCATATCCTTGCTGAATTCAGTTCTTGATCATTGCTCCTAAGCGCATGACTCCTGCCAGTTGCTCGCCCGCTGATTGCACATCTTGTCCACGAGACAACATGGTTCCAAGCGCCTGCAGTTCGTAATTCGTGATTGTGATTCATGATCTCGTGCGAAACACATCCCATGAAGAATTTTCCGTCAATTACTGCGCGTCACATCAGGATTCGTCAAAGCGCGCAGCTCCACGTTGAAGGATCAAGATGCCTGCGATGCACAAGCTGTATGCATCCTGGGCCATCGATCGCGCTTCCTTGCCTTCATCTGCCCCCTCCGCTGAGATGCTTTGATAGGAAGTGCCCTGAGGAAGAATTGACGCTGTCTTGGCTACCGACCGGGGTGATCTCTCAAGTTATTGAACATGTCGGCGTTGACGCCTGGGGGAATGGCGACGTCTCTCTCGCCAGCCTCCATTACTGGACTGGATTGCGTCGCAGCACGAACTTCCTCCAAGCTCCGATAAACGCTTACCCTGATCCGAGCATTAAAGTATTTCTTCTTGGCTCCTCTTGGCTCCTTGAGCCTTTTGACCAGCCTCGTGTGTCAATTACAGAAATGTGTGCTGTGCCCTCACTGCATCTCAGCTCGCCACCCTCGCGCGTCAGGCAAAGTGCCGTACTTTCTCAGCAATCAAGTCGCCAATTGTCAAGGTTCATTACGAGATTGGGGTCGAAGTAGCATCGGTGACTGAATGCCTCGTGGTATGCTGGGCTGTGAAAGCGTGATAGCCGGCTACTTCGCGGGATTACGGTGTCGACTGAGGCTAAGACTGAGGCTCTCTCTCTCTCGCTATCCCGCCCCCTCACAGGGAAGCGCCGAACCCTTTCTGCAAAGCATTGCATGAAAAGTTTCGGGAAAGGAGACGTCGTTCAACGGATTGCAGATATGGCTTTGAGAGAGCGTGGCAGCGGCAGCGATGATCTCAACAGCATAGTCAAGATTGTTCGGCTGTATGGGACTCTGTTGTCATGTTATACGTTAGATGATTCGTAATTATTCAGAGAATGAAAAATAAAGACCCAAAAACCAAGGACCAATACTCAAGGAGACAGACAGGCAAGGACTTACCTTGATGGCAGCGACGGGCTGCACCGTTTTGAGCTTACTCAACCACTGAGGGTAGAACACGACGTGGCCTTTGACGAGGCACGCTGTCAGGTCTTTGTCGAGAAAGTCTAAGAAGTGAGGAGACTGGATCTAAGACTGATATCGGTACAGGACTCAATGCCGATTGTTATCGTTGACTGGAAGAAGAACCGACTTGCGCTTGACTCCACGAAGAGGCCAGTTGGGTGTCTTGTTCCCAGAGGCTCATTCGCAGGCCACCACGAGGATGCCAATGGGACTCGCTTTGTCGCTTCTTATGTGTCCGTAGAGGGGGTTTGTAATCAAGCCGTTGGGGAATTGACCGGGCGCGAGCATGAGGAGACTGGCAATGAGTTTTCTCATCTGGTGAACCGACCGGGGCGCCATGTGGTTGAGTAGTGGCAACACGTACTGCGCAGAGACTTGGCTGTGTTGTATAAATGCTTCGGGATGCTCGGGTATTGTTCTTCAACAACTTTGAAGTCCGACAGACTTTGACGTCCTCGAGGGCTCGAATTCTCGGAGACCTGTGGTTCCTGCCGTAGTGGGTTCTGTGGATGCTTGGGTGTACCCCTTGATTGATTCTGAATATGTTGAGGCTGGAGATGATTTGGCGAACCTGGCTTGATGGATGACTCGTTCGACGTCAGTGAAGGGATACGGCTGGATGGATGAGGCGGGGGCCGGTTCGAGATTGAGACGAGTGTCAGTATTCCTTCAACCGCTAGATGGCGCCAACACGTGGGCACATCTATCCGAGTATTCCCCTCATATGCGCCTATGGATAGTTAGGAACACGTTGAAAGTTGGAGGAATACTGGCGATGGACATACTGACACATCGTCAATGGGAATAAGTATCAGGTGTCTGGGAAATACATTTTCGTTCTGCCCTTGATCTGTGAAGATCTCAATCGCCGCGGATAAGGAAAAGGAAGAAGCCGCCAGGGTCGCGGGTTGAGCGCCTTGTTCGGACGGCGCTGAATCTTCAGAGTCTCCGGAGTCCGGAGAGATTGGCGAGAGGTCAGACTCTAGCGCGGCGAGTGGCTCGGGTGCTATGATTGAAAAGCTCATATTGTCCAGCAATCTGTTGCTAGGTAGGCTGTCATGCACGGCTACCTGCGATCTCTTAAGTTTTTTGTTCTTCTTCTTTTGAGGGAGAAGGGGGCTGTCATCGTACGTTCGTTTGATTGGCGATAGAAGTTTGGGAGAAGGAGCAGAGATGCCTCAGCGGCTAGCTGAACCGCCCTCTGCCCTTGAAGGGCTGCTTCGGAGCCTTTCAAGCCAAGGCTTGGTGCGCATCGGCCGAAGCCGTTTGTTGTCTGCGGCGCAACAGGGTCAGCATGATGCAAGACTTTCTGAAGGGCTTGCGCCGACAAATTATGTGAGTGGAGGGCTCGGGGGCTGAGATGCGATACTTACTTCTGACCCCTCGCCCCCCTCCCGGTTGAAGGGAAGTGCTCCATTCCCCACGTTGAAGGGGAAAGGCTTCGTTTCCCCCGTGTCGCTGGGAAGTGCATAAAAGCAGCGCAGCGATCGAAAGCCCTGTATCTTACAGCCCACAGCGTCGTGACTGCCCAAGCGACCCCATAGGCGATTACGTCTCGGCCGGCGATGACATCTCCGCAAGCATGCAGCGTATACAATAACGTGCAGTATTCCACTTTTATTAGTGGAAACTATGAACAATTAGCAATCTGCAAACCTTCGAGATAAGAGCCTTAGAAAGGTGTTCCAGAGCTTGTAGGTTGGAGAGGCTGCAAAATGTGATGGGCTGGTTGCGGTGGTTCTGTGCTCCGCGAAACAAACGCACCTCAAGGTCTTCCCGGCTCTCCCTAAGCACTTCATTAATCTTCTCAATGGTATTGAGTTCATGCTCACAGCGGTTGGAGGAAGCAAGAGTGCTATTGGGCAGCTGCCTTGTTCTCGAGTTTGAAGCCATCGAGGAACGATTCACCCGTTTGCACCATCATCCAAGTATTTGTGTTGAATAGATGCTCACCTCCAGCGCCTTGTTCTTGGCTATCTCGAAACTGTCCGTGATAAGGATGCAGTCAGTAATAATTCCACGATGCAGTCTTTCCGAGATGCGATCCGCCTGCTTGAGGAGTCCAAGGAAACAGCCGATGTCGTGCCGTCACCGCAGATATCTATTTTGTGCAGTCGTAGCTCTAGCGATTGCCGGCAATCAACCTGCGCAACTTTGTCATGCTCTCTTCGCGCTTCAGCCAATTTTGCTCCGACTCCCTGCTCTCAATGTACATCATCTTTCCCCTAAAAATGTCGTCTAATTCGTGGCGGGTGTTGGTACATGACAGCTCGACCTCGCTTCGCGTTTCGGGGGCTGGAGTAACGGGGCGTTCGCTCGCAATGGAGTCATGACGCTATTGGAGTCATGACACCATTGCGGTTTTGAGTTTGCATTCCGCAGAGCTACGTGATGATCAGTTGGTGTCTGCAGAGGAGAAGTTAAAGTTGAAAGGTCCAGATCCGACGACAAAGAATAAGATGAAGCCTCAAAGAATAGAAGGAAGGCGGAAGGGAAACGGCCCGTCAAAGGGTCGAGGATGATGGGAAAATACCTTGAAGAGGGATGGTATCCCTGTCACAGGGTAGACGGTTCAAATTGTTCGGTTCTTTGGGTGACGAAGGGTCAATTGCTATTTATCGACTGCTTCTGGGTAGCGGTGTAAATGGGGATTCTAACCGTAAATACGAGGTACAATTGGGGGTCTGGTTGAGGGTTGCTCTTGACTCTCGGTCGAACTGGACTTCCAATCCGACAGGATGAATAGAGAGATCGGAAGAAGGGGTAGACGAGAAAGAGGTAAGCCGAAATAGAGGGAAGGTAAGAAAGAGGGAAGGTAAGAAAGAGGGAAGGTAAGAAAGAGGGAAGGTATAAAAAAAGGGAAAGTAAAAAGGAAGAAAGGAAAGGGAGGGAATAAGAAGAAGAAAGAGGGAGGTAAAAAGGAGGGAAAATAAAAAGAAATAAGGTTAAGAGAGGTAAGGTAAAAGGGAAGGTGAGAAAAGGGGAAGATTAATAAGAGGGAAAGTAAGAGGAAGGGAAGGTAGGATGGTGACAAGGAGGGAAGGATGGATGGAGAGGAGGCGACATAGCTGCCATTGGCTGCAAACTGGTGATGTGTCTGAGGGGATTCCCTGGAGCATCAAAGCTGCGGTTGGTACGTACATGCGCTGCTGTCAGATCAACACCAGGAGCGACGCCGTCGCAGGTAGGAAAATTTCAAGGTTTGCCCCATGCAATACCGTTGCTTCCGTCAAGTCTGCCGATACTAAGATTGGAAATGCTCGTGTCAAGGGCTGGCAGCACCATCGCCGAAGGTGGGAAAAGTTGGATTGCTTGCACGACGTAACAGTATCATTGCTGCTATTCAGTCTGCTACTGTCAGGTCCCAGGATGCTGTTGGGAAAAGATGCCAGCAGCACGTACGAGGACCGTGCCATGCCGTCCACCTTTGACGTCTCCTACCAATGATCCAGGGGAAGCACCTGCATCGAAAGTTCATTTGTTGGCTGCACTCACATTCCTCCCTGAAATGTCCCGCCTCGTCCATCCAAGCCATTTTATTTGCTGCGCAACACCTTCCACGAACAGCGTCACCGGTACCGTCTGTGGACTTTGACAGCCCATCCCTATCTTGCTGTGCATCACAAGCATCTATCTAAAAAAATGTGGTTATCGCAATTCTCATGGCCTCGAAGTGAGACTGACTGCCCTGAACCTGTGAGCTAAGCCTTGCTGCATGTCGAGCAGGTAACTTTGTCGTGTCACCACCAGCATCTTTCAAGTCTCCACCCATACCAAAATGTTTACATGCTCGATGATGGAGAGTTCTCAACAAGATGAAGGCTCTCATGTCACTCAAAGCAGTGGAAGTCACCAGTGTGAGTTGGACACTTTTCGCTTGTATAAAAGTCTGGTAGGTGGCTTGATAGTGGCGGCTTTGCCGGAGAATACAAGCCACACGACTCTGTAAGTGGTTCCGGGCCGGCGTGCCCAAAAAACTAGATATTTTTGATTTCATTGAGCGACGGGCACTCAGCCTTCGGCATCTGTGAGGGTACGTACTTTACCCAACACAGGCATTGAAAAGTGAGGGAAGCAAGCGCCGCAGCCACTACCCTGCTGCAGCCTCCACGTCGGGTGCACCTCGGCGCCCACCAGTCCCAGCCCCAGGACCAGGCTCATTTCCCATTCATTTCGTCTCTCGCACCTCCACCTCGCACCCACGCCTCGAGAAATACGAAATGATGGTCATCATGTCTTTGAGCTTGTAGCCTGTGAAAAAACCCCACGAGTCTGCTGACTGCTGCACCCATTCTTCAATTCGGAGGAACATGGTCCCAGCCCAACAGCGGGACAAGCCACATTTTGGCTGCTCCATTGAATCGAACCGAGCAGCGTCTTCCACATGCACGTTTGGGCTGAGGTGACGGAGCGAAATTGTGGTCTTGGTGGACATGGGAATTGATCGTTCAAGGGTCAGGATGGATGGGAGTGATGGATGCAGATGTTGTAATTGGCTGGATCATGATTCAGGTCCGCAACCGCGCGAGAGAGACGAGCGAAATGTACATTCAAGCCTTGCAAAACCTTACACAGCTGCGAAAGAAGACAAGCAGGGCTCAAAAGATTAGAAGACGAGCACGCACACGCTCCCGACTTGTCGCTGTTCTTTTGGGTGGCATATTATGTGCGGGCTGTTTGTTTTTCCCGCCTCATTCAATCGCAATGGTGGCGACCATCTTGCTCTGAGCGAGTGCCATTCGGAGTTCGGAGGGGAGGGAGGTATGGGAGGTCATTTCAAGGTTAAGGTGGCTGAAGCTAGCTGAGCCAGATGCAAGGTTGTGGCCCACTCTCGCACTGCCTTGGGTCGAATCAAAGGTAGGCAGTGACATGACAGATTTGGTTGCTCAAGTTGCTGAGTCATAGGCTGCCCAAGCTCGGGCAGCCAACCCGTGAATCTTATGCCTACTGCGAAGTATACCGACCAAAGCAATATGTATCTATCGGATAGGTATACAATCATGTTGCACACTGCAACATGATTATGCACTTAGACGCAGCACTCAAGTGTCTGTGCGTCGAGTCCCACTACTCGCACTGCAATGCACGAGACGCAAAATGAGAACCAGCTACTGACGCTTGAGATGCTGCCGAGACACACACTTTGCTTGGGTGATCGAAAGACACCACGACTCTTTCAACAGCTTCAACTTCAAACTTCATCGTCTTTTTGCACATGGATGCCATCAATCAGCGCTGCGTCGCAGGCTGGTTGTAGCGCCCGACTCGGCAGCCCTGTCTCGAGCATTCTGGGATTGGTCCTGGGAAAGCTCAACGTTAATGGCAAAGCATCGCAGCCACATAAAATTGGTCTTGGATGATAGTCTTGCGGTTGAGTCATTACAGCCTTTGAGTACTGTCTGAAGCTGACGATCTGTCTGCGATGTCGGCCAATGGATGTACGGAAACATCAAGCAAAGGAGTCATGGTCTCGAGAATGGGTCACACCAACGTCATCTTGTGAAATGTTGTTTGTCCTACGTACCCGTCCAAAATACAGTATCACGATGTTACGGCTTGCCAACCAGAGCTACACGCCTTGCTGTTTGCTTCTTCAGACAACACGGTGCACCAGAACAAATGTATCAAACCCAAATGCGTGTTTCAAAGTATTCCGCCCGTAATCATTCTCGTATCCCGGCTACCGCAACTCTCAGTACTGGTTCCAGAGAAAAGTGATATGAGGGCAGTGTCCTTCTGACACGATGTCAATCACTGGCAGAGAGACCGTCTCCCTTTTCCTCCTCAAGTGCCATGAGCAGCTGCCGAGCCGAGTTGACTGTCATGATAAGGGCAATCTCGACGTTGCTGGCGTTCTTTGGTGATGCCGACATGATCTCGTCAGTCTCGAGTGAGAGAATGTTGCTGCACAGGGTGGCAATCATGGTGGTGGTGTCCGGCGGGGTGTGAGAGCCAGAGTCGGAGCCGGAGTCGCTGGCGTAAGGCTGGTTCGCAGATTCGAAGAGACAGGTCTGGGTATCAGAACTGCAGTTCATCTTGACTGTCTTGGACGGACGGGGATTATGGTTGGTATCATCGGGCGAACGAGTTCTTCTTCGGCAGGATATTGATAACTGAGAAAAATTGTCTGTATATCCTGCAATAACGTTAGCCACGGTGATCCCCGGGACTGCTGGTTGTAGGATCAGAGGAGCGAGCGGGAAAGAAGAATGCAAAGGCAGGGAACGCGTCAAGTGGGCAAGGGATAATAAGAGATACCTACCGTCTTGACCAGTCATGATGCGTGTATCCCTGCGAAGTGCAGTGCTGGCCACGCTACTTGCGATCGGTGGCGGTTGGGTGATGCTGGGCGAAGGTGTGTGATGTTTGTGCTTGTCTCGTTTACGCAGCGGCGGGCAGGCGATGTAAGAGAAAGTGGAGAGAATGGTATTGAATGGCGAGTCTGCGCGACTAACGTTTGGGTGTGCTGTTGAACGAACGAAGTCTTTCAAGTAGGGCATGGACGAGTTGCAATCTGCCCTGGGTTACGTGAAGGGCAAGGGACAGATGGAGAAGGAGAAAAGCTCAGATGGACAGCAGTTCCAGGTAGTTCCACCTCATTGCAGAAGAGGGAGTTGGCATATCTGGTTTCGCGACCTCTTGGAAGTACCTTACGGAAGGAAAACAAATTGGAAAGAAGTAGCGGCAAGGACTTGTCTGAACAAGAATGGTGCCCGGAGAGAAGAAGGAAGTATCATATCATGTAGGAGGTAGGAGTCAAAATACAAAAGGTGACGACATCAATGGAAAGCGCAGGAAAGCATGAGGTGGGGAACGTACCTTACCTCACGTCGGGTACGGGTGATGATGACAGGGAAGAAAATTGAGGCGAGGCGAGGAAGGAGACAGACCCGTGCCCACCTCCTGGACGATGAATTATGCTGCGCCCTGCATGGGACCGCCTCAAGTGATCTTGTCACGCCGTCTGAGGTCAAGTACGCAAATACCTAAGGTACCTGTTAAGGTAAGGTAGCTATCAGTGAAGGAAGGACATATGTTCTACGGAGGAAAGAAGCTGTGAGTTACACGTCCGTGCTTCAGGTCCAATTGGTCCTCGATTCATGTGTGGAAGCCTCCACATATTCAACCTTCCATGAATAATGGAAAAGCCAGTACTCGGAGCTACGTATTCCAGAAACGCATGGAAGATCAGGTCTCGTGTTCTGGTACTGGACTTGC